GGAATCGGGTCAGACTTGGCTTGCAGTCTATTTCATGTTGGATACTTCTACTTGGGACATTATTGTAGACGCATATCATTTCTCCACATGCAATTTATATACACATTAATTACGCATTTATATATTTCGGATTAATCATTGATTGGTCAATTTATATTTTTTTTGTCATCTGATTCAACTGTCTTCGTAAAGCAGTTTTATTTTATTTACCGTTTGCAAATTACAATATATTACTACAAAATATTTTATGTAAAAGAAACTCTAGCACAAAAAACTATAGGAATTAATTCCTTTTACTAATTATATGCAAAATTAATCTGTTGAATATGTTGCGAAAAGAAATCGTTGATTATGCTGTAGAGGGAAAATCACAACGTTGTAATAAGTTGGTGGAACCAAATTTTTATTTTATTTTTTAAAGTTGGTGGAACCAAATTGAATAAAGTCCGTTCATATCATTATCTGACCCTTAAGAGCCTCTTAGCAATATTCTTATAGGTCCCACTGGCTTAGACTTGATTAGAATTCCTAATGGTCCTACTAACTTTGTGTGTATGTGTGTGGACATACCGAACCAAGCAGAACCAAACCGAATTAATGGTTTGTTTCCATTTTTGTTGTTTTGTTCTCTAACCGAAGTAAACTAAACCGAATTGATGGCTTGTGCTAAAATTTTTGTTGTTTTTGTTGATGTGCTTAATAAATTTGGCTGGAGCCTAAATAAATACACTGGTTTTTTTACTTTTTACAGAATAAATCTATAATCGTTGCTCTGTACTTGGTGGACCTCAAACTTTGATCAAATACTCGGCTCTGAAATATTTGCTTTCGTATTCATTTTCTGTTTTGTCTTAAATGATGATGTCTTGAAAATATCTTGTTTGATATATCAAACTTTAATTTACACACACAAGAAAAGAAAACATTCTTGTTTTGCCATTTTTCCTTTCATGTAGGTATGTAGCTGTATATTATTCAATCTTGTATTCTCGATATCGTGCTGGAACTGTTACAGATGCAATGCTCTCGGTGCCAAAAATGCCATTTTTAATTGTTGGTGTTTTAGAGGCTTTAGCTACAGCTGCTGGGATGGCAGCCGCAGGTAACATTACAATTGAATTTATGCAGTTGTCTACGCAATCCTTTAGTTACATGGTTTTTGCGTTCCTATTTCAAAATGTAATTTTCAGTAGCTTTATACTTTTCATTTATGAGATGGCTTTACGAGGGAGTGAGAGTATTGTGAGAAGCATAAAATGCCTTCATTGCACGAAATCGACTTTATTCATCTAATTGTTTTTTTTCCTCTTCTCTGCTCTCAGCGAATCTTTCGGGGCCATCTACTACAGTTATATCTCAGGTTTGAAGCTGCTGCATAAGTAGAAACTTCTTGGTTTATGTGTAACAAGCTGAATTTTTTATTGCCTTAAAATCGTGTTTTCTTGATTTTCTTGCTAACTAAATGAAAGACATGATGGGTGCAATCAAGGATTTAATAACATGCCCATTTGTTTCCTCGCAGACATTTCTTGTCTGGCAAATTTTCTTCTCCATCATTTTTCTTGGGAGGAGATATAGCGTAAACCAAATACTCGGATGCACTCTTGTAGCTCTTGGTGTAATTGTCAGTGTGGCAAGGTTAGTCCGCTCGGTCCTCTTGCTTTATGTGCTTCATCAAGGACACAACAGGAATCACCATATTTGTTATTTGTATCTGCAGTGGATCTGGTGCTGCACATTCATTAAAGGAAGCTGGAATATTTTGGATTCTTCTAATGGTCCTCTCCTTCCTGCTTCAAGGAGCAGATACAGTATTGAAGGTCTATTAATCACCCATTTACAAGCTTTTTTATTTTGGTGCAACTATTCTCTTTAAACTCAAATTCTTTTTTTTTTCCCCTTGTAGGAAGTCATCTTTATAGATAGCCTAAAACGATTGAAGGTACTTACATAGACCCCAATCCCCAACACGCGTGAAGAGAGTATCGTTCTTTGTTTGTTTGATATACTGAAAAACCATGTGCTCTTACTATCCCAGGGTGCATCACTCGATCTGTTTATAGTTAATTCGTATGGGTCAGCTTATCAAGTAGGTACTCTTAGTCTTAGCCCCTTGTTCTCTCTTAGCTCTGACTTGCACTACAAGGTAAATAATATTGGCTCTGTGATGCTTTTTGTTACCAATTCAGGCCGTCTGCATCGCGTTGCTTCTTCCATTTCTTTCAAAACTATGGGGCATACCGTTTAACCAACTCGGTTCTTACCTAAAAGATGGCGCGGTTTGCTTCCTCAACATTGGTACAATGACAAAAGGATGCGATGGGGCTCCATTGTTACCTTTATTGTTTGTGATAGTGAACATTGGCTACAACATTGCGCTTTTAAGACTCCTCAAGATTTCCTCTGCGGTGGTTTCATGTCTTGCATCGACAGTATCAGTGCCAATTGCGGTGTTTCTGTTCACATTGCCATTACCGTACCTTGGAGTTGCATCATCACTTCCAAAAGGGTTCATGGGAGGAACAATTATACTTGTTTTGGGAATGCTTCTTTACAGTTGGTCACCACAAGAAGCTAATCGTTCTCGTACTGATACAGTCATTCCTTCACCTCCTCCAACTTGAAAGAGGGGGTTTTTGCGTTTATTAAGCGATTTGAGAGGTTTATGAAAATCGATTTGGGATAAG